ATTGTACGCTCATGTAGTTAGTCCTGTGGATCACACAAAGTAATTAGTAGATAAATACTTCATACTTGTAGACAGGAACGGATAAGCTCGCAAAAAGTATGGTATAAATTTTCAGTACAGCATTTCATTCTCCCTACCAGAAACAACCTTCGTATGCTCCGGTTCAACGTACTGAGAAACTGGTAATAAGACACTGAATTGAATTCAGTGAGAAACGCAGTGACATGGTGTGGCTATGTCTAGGCCTACAAAACCTATTTTCTTTCTGCGCTACGAACATATTTCAAACAGCTGTAATGGGTTTAGACTTATTTGTCAGGTACATTGTCAGGAAAGTATGAAGCCAATAAAATGGCAACACATCATCCATTCTGAGAATGATGACAAAATTGTTCATAAATGCCAAACTGGGTAGCATCATTATGCCTAAATTTTTGGGTTTCGTCCATTCAAAGGTGCTGATATGGTTAATTAAGAATAAACCGTGTCCTTTTTTATCGGTAGACTGAGATTATTTACTATTCCATAATTATTATGAACAATACCCTACCCAAAATCATTTCTTTCGTGTACGTGATCAGTGTTTTTCTCAGACAGGATTGCTTCATCAAAAGTCACAAAGAACTTTATCAGTCCCGTCTGCCTCTCTCGTTAGCCGTTTGATCGTTTCAGACTACCTGACAGACTTTTGCAAATACTATAGTGGCTCAGTGCGATGCACTCTGCCGTAATTGTCTGTCTCCCGTATTTGGACATTGCCCACATCGTAAAATTCACTGTTCATTAAGTAACATAATGCTTTTTTTTCGATCGGTTTAAGGGATGGTAATTAATGTCGCAAAGACACTACTAATTCTCAAACAAAAGCTGTTTTCTACAAGATGAATACATGAATACTGTCGAAACTATCAACCTTTCATGAGTTATTTCTTCGTTATGGGTCATTTATCACAATAATCAAGAATTGTTCAAAAAACTGAAATCCCTGTTTCAGGTTTACGCTTGGGGCCTATCCATTAACTGTTGTTTATGGAAGGTCGGTCATTTCAGGTGTGTAATAATTTTAAAAAATTTCAAGATGCGTTATTCAGCAATTTCACGTACTGAAGCGTAAGGTAAACGTTAAAAAACAGCAATAAATACCGTATCAGCATCAGGGGCCACGAAATTGAAGGTCTTTTCGGCGTTTTCATCGTCCTTCAGGATTATTGAGAAGGCGAGACTTTCGCCCTGCTTTTTGGTCTTCGAATCTTTGATGTACGAACAGTTAGCCCCCGTGACGACGTCAAAAATTTCTGACACAGGAACTAAATTTAATGGTTATAAATCGCTAGAATAGCGTAGCATAGAATATCGCACGTTTCCATTCCATCTTATCAGCATCTCGCGAACCTTTTTCATTACAGTCGCAATAAACGAAAGACTGTTCCGTTTGACATAGCTTCCAAAACCATGACTTCCCTGAAATCAAGCATTACGTAGCATTACAAAATATCGATGGGGGTGCAGTCTGTCATGTTCATGTCTCCTTGAAATCAATTTTAAATACCCTGCCTTGCTCGACGCAGGCATGATATGTTGGTTTTATGCACAACTCTCATGATATGCTGTTTGCTGGATGACGTGGACCAGAATGCTGAATCAACAGATAGACAGTCCAGCAAAATATGAGATTCGTAAATTTTTTCTTTCCAGCAGTACTGAAAAATCACGCCATAATTAAAGATGCTTTATATTACTTGGAAAAAGAATATCCGTAAGTGACCGATATTGACAAACAAGGAGAACTCAAAGGAAATTGTGCGAGTATTTCAGCTAAATATGAGCGGCAAATTTAATCGATCAGGGCGATATTGCTAACGTTAAATCTTTGGCAAAACAGATAAATGAGCATCGAACGGATAATCAGAGTGTGTTAAAACGAATTTACATACGAGTAACCTTTAACTTTAAAATACACAGGTGATGATGTAACATTTCTACTATTTGTTCTATCAGAGATATATAGTTTTATAAACTTAATCTCCTGAAATTGGATTCAGCATTACAGTTTAAAGTAATGCTTTTGTTCTTTGTATTTCATTTTTATATGGTTGATGAACAGGTCAGCAACCTAAGATTCGCTGTTGAAGTGATGCTGTTTGCGGAAAAAGCTAGTCACGACAAGACATGTTGCAAGGGCTCGAGAGAGGAAGTGCGGAAGGCGGGCTGCGAATCAATTGGTTACAGATGATACTGTAATCAGATGCCCCGCTGAAGAACCCGGCAGTGTTAAAGGGCGAAAATATCAAAGTCGACAATTACATTTACCTATGGCATAAAATCAACATGCGGCATTATCAGACTGGAGACAATCAACGAAGATAGAGGGCCGGTCAGCATGTTCCATTCCATCAAGGATGTCTTCTCGTAAACATCAGGAAAAAATTGCGCCAACTTCTTCAATTTTACCGTCCTGTGGGCAATGTTATATGACTGTGAGTCGTTGTCAGTCAATAAAGCCCAAGAGGCAGCTATTTGGCACTAAGAGAGACATGGAAAGAAGAATTTTGGAAATCTCAGGTCGCGACAGCATTTCCAACATGGTCATCAAACAGAGGACGGGGGCGAAAGAGGTCGTCGTCGAAAGCAGAAAAGAAAGCTTAGTTAAGCCTGGCGTGTAGATGTAGACAGGAAATGGTCAGCGACAACCGCTGACTGGTATCTTCACGGGCGAACTAAGACTTTCATGAAGACAGGAAGATTACAGTAGCCGAAGTTTGCGCTTGTAGGGGAAGCGGCTCGAAACCGCGAAAAATTTAATGTGTTGCGATTGGCTAGGCCAATTGATTCATATCTTATTTGACATAAGTCGCTGTACTAACTTACTGAGTAAGAACAAAGGAGCTATTTAAATTCTAGTTCGCAAAGCATGTGAGATTACCGTAGGACTAGTCTATTGAAAAAAATCTTTTGAAAGTGCCACTCCAATAAACCGAAGTATGACGGGTGTGTGAAAATATATGAAACAGGACGATGTACCTTTCTCTCTGATACCCTTTGATCCGGTACTGTATTTCGCAAACACTTGCCCGGCTTTCAGTATGCTTAACCGATTTTCCTTGATCAGTTCCTTCATCTGCGGCATCAGCAGTTCGCGTACTTCCCTTAAGAAGAACTACGAAATGAATTACATTAATAGCAGCAGTCACGATTACTTTATCTGAGGTGACTGAAAATCGCTTTCCTCTTTCAGCGAACGCTCTCTTTCCCAAGACTCTGCGATTTCATAGTAGTTATGTCGCTTTAATTCTTTCCTGAAGTTTTCAAATGTCCTTGATGAAGCCTGTAGACTTCTGACAATCTGTTCACGGACTACGGCCAACACCTATAATTAACTCGCAGCGGTTCATACACGGAAATTAATAGAATGGTTGAAACTTTTGAACAACGCTGTTTCATTTCTGATGTAATCAACCATAGTTTAGCAGTGTATATGCTATGAAATCTGTGAGAATAAAGGTTTGTGGCTTAAATTTTTTCAACCTGATCTGCAATTAGTGTCCGTCTCCAAGATAAACTACGATTTATCAAATATAGGGCATATCATCTTCAGATTATACCGTCCATTAGTTCAATCATTTCAGAGTTAACCACATATTTACGATAACACGCACAATTAAAGGAGGAAGATATTCAGCTTAATTTCTGCCTGACATGCAATCAATCATCCTCACTGTTGTCTGTCCTCCACGACAGTGGATTCCTGAAGAAACAAGTCAATTTACATATCAACTGCAAGCAGCAGTCAGTAGCATCTGAAATTCAGAAATAAACTATGTACGGAAACTGATTAGACCAGGTGCAAACATACGAAAGATAAGTAAATTATCAAGAGGATCATTTTTGCTGGAAGAAAATCAGCAAGCAAATTTTGGAGGCAATAACCAAAAAGAGAAATGCTTCACATCGGAAGAAGAATGAATAGGGATGAAAGGACTAGCAGTAATAAAACGGGAAGAGAAATATACCTAGGGATTTAGCAAAAAAGTTGGTTTACTCCAGTTCCCTAGAAAATAACCAATGCATATCATTACTCTGAACTATACGCAATTGTTGCGCGGCCCTCTTGTTTTTAGAAACCTGCGGAATCATTTAAGCAAGTCCCAACTTAATAGAAATTGGGCACCTACAATGCAAAGATGCAAAGCAACATCATTTAGTGGAAATGATAACACAACGTGCTGAAAGCATAAACTGAAATACTTCAGCTCTTAGAATTGTAAAAAGACAAGAACAGGCAGAATAGTGGACATTCTGGAGGTTAATACAAAACGTAAATTTTTTACGCACATACAAGATCCGCTTTTCTGGATTAGTATATGGAAGTTGTAAACTACCCGCATTTCTAGAGGCTCCAAGGATTCCTTAAACAGCTCATGATTTACTCCATTTTTCCGCATCAGCGAGTGCAAATCTGTATCACTGCGCTGGGTAGAACAAAAATGCTTTAAAGCAAGCGAATATGTATCGATTCATAAGAATATATACTCTTTTGTGATACAGCTGGGCATTTTTATTCTGTAGACGGTATAATATCATGGGTCTGTGGCGTGCTTAAACGGTTCTACAGGCCGTTAGGACCAATAAAACCGTGTGATTACGCCAAGTCAATCTGAAAATCGAAAGTGATGTTCTGCTGTAAAAATATGTTGTAGGTTTCACCAAAGGTGTAAATATTAGCTTACATTCCAATACTGGTCTGTTATTAATTCTTAAATTAATAAATAACAGGATCATTTAAAGCCCACACCTGAGGCTTTTTAGTAATTAAAATTACCTTCGAAATATCATCGTAAGACGAAGCACGCATCTCCTTCCAAGTCTTGTTCAGCAAGACGATACAGCAAGAAAACATTTCTTCGAACGGGCTCTCATGAGTGAAGAACATCTCATAGTACACTTGACCTTGTTCGGACGCTAAAAAGACAAACTGTAACGACGAACAGCGAGAACCATCGTCGAGCCTAACGTTGTTCGCCAATGTGTAGGACGTCCATCATAACGTTCACTAGTAGGACACCAGTTTGCACAAGGGGACACTCGCGACCATCGGTCTTCGATATATTCTCAAGAATGATCTGAAAACACGAACTCAGCAGGAAACTGCAATAAAGCACAGTTAAAATAACATAAGATACCATATCTGTGCAAAGATGGTAAACATCAACCTAGTTGTTAATTACCTTGACAGATAAAGCAACAAACAAACAAAGAGTTCCTGAGTAATGCGCACTAGTAAAATAGCCAGCGAGAGAGAAAGGATTTGCATTAACAGGGTTTTAAAGAACAGCGACTGATTCACTGTACATGAAGACAGTTAAACGATTTGCACGCTATTAACACTCTGTATTCAAAAAGGATACCCCTTGCTTAGAACGTGGAGCGAGCCCGCTTTCTCATTAGAGACAGTAAAATTCGCTCTGCTTCATACTCACTGACTATCCTTAGCACTTCAGGAGAACGACTGCAGCATTTCCACACCTTCTTTAATAACTTCAAACTAAATTGTTTACAATTTTAAGCTCCGGTTTAATTCTGAAAGCAGTTAGAAGTCTCTACAAATACTTTTCCTCGACATTTATTAAGGAAACAACTCTACATAGAAAGAAATTTGCTATCGATCCGGATTAAATTTGTATTAACTTTTTTCGCTGTTCAGAATCAAATATAACATAAAATCTAGACCTTTAGAAATTGTTCTTCGTGTATTCGCCAAAAGTAACTGATGCAATCAAAGGCTAAAAGTCCGGGAGGAACAACTTGGAAATCTTCGACCGGATTGTTCGGATTCTAAAAAAAACGTATTCATTCAACACTATAATCAAACAACAAGATATAACCTCAATGTCATTCCATAAAACAGTGTTCAAATAATTAGTAGTAAATGCAAATTAGTAAACAATGATATTTAGCAAAGCGTAAAGGAGTCGCTGGTATGGCCTATGTACAATTTTTTCAAGAAACAAACAGTTTATAAATTTAAAGAGAAACACTGAGAGCTGCAATGGTTTGAGCACATGAACAGGATGTCAGACAATGTACTTGCAAGATGGATAATTTCCATAATGCCACGTGGCAGGAGGCTTGGATATACAGAACGTTTAGCATTGCGAATCCTCGGAATCTAATCCGCGAGTTGTTTTTCTGGATCATGACGGGAGTCACTGGAAAAACTTCTTAAACGTTTTGCCCTGCAACCTGAAAGGAATAGCAGACTATGGAAATGAATTGACAGTTTGCTGATGTTGCAAACATTCTGAATAAAGGCATTAGTCAAATACGGCTAATATGCGGAGCACCCTAAAAACGATAAAGGCTGCTTGCATCCAGAAGCCGTTACCAACCCAGAACATTTGAGAATATTTTCCGTTTTCTAAAAAATGGTAAAAGCACCCTGACGAGATTCTGACATGGAACCTGCTCAAAGACCAGTCCATTCGCTTGTTGCGATATTCTGCAAGAAACGCCTGATACATTCCATTATGCGTATATCCATAAACCACCGCAAAACAATTTCTTCTTTGGCAGGAGATTAAATCGAGCTAGATGATTTGTAACAATAACTTGAAAATTTGAAATTGCCATCTTCGAAATTGGGAAAGCCTCCTCATACTCGACAAATTTTGAAGGATCGCGCCGCTAGTGCTTCTGCCAGTTACATGTCATGTTAACCAGGTCATAGTGGACCGTACGCACGATCACTCGATTCAGAAAAGAGACTAACTTGAACAATTCAGAACCGTTGACACTCAAGCGAATCCAAGTCTTAGGGCAAAGCTGTCTCCATTCAAGTCATTCTTCACCCCAATGTTCATCCATGGTTATAAATCATGAACCATCACTGACAAACCGTGATTTGAGGTACAAGCTGCCGAAATTGTCTCTGTGGGACGAATCGATGGGCTTACGCGTTTCGACATGGTCCGGAGTTCAGACAAGCGCAAAGTCTTAGTGTTCAGTACTTGCTTCTCCACAACGGAAATTAACAGCTGTCATGCTGTAGGTTGGTCTGACGAACGCTACCAGGAAGGAAGGCTAAACAGCAACTACTTACTCAACCGAGTGGTCCAAGACCTCTTGGACGGACAAAAATTACGTGGGACCAAATGTCTTGAAAGATTCTGCTACAAACTCAGGCAATTTCCTGCCGAAGCGTAATATCGAGAATATAGGAGAACCTGACGAAGCCGCGACCCGAAACGATAAGCCGTCATCGAGACTGACAAATTGACTGATTGTAGCAAGCGTATCTGTGCCGTCTTCCAAAATTTGGAAAGTCTCCACGTACTCAAAAACTTTTAAAGGAACCTTAGAACTAATGTTTCCACCTGTTTTGACAGTCTATAAATTATTTACATTATTTACTGGCTTTCCTTTCAGAAGGGAAACACGCCAATTACTCAATTTTAAAATTTACAAAAAATTAAGAAGCATATTTATTCTTGCCCCCGGAAGCAACTGTTATACAAGCAAGATCAGCAAACGGTTGCCTAACCCTTCAGTCTTTTCATGATTATCGTACATTTTCTGTCGCCTTTGCCATTTAATGAAACTGAACTGAGATGTCATCAAAAACGTTAAATACTTTTGCAGGAAATAAATGGAAAAACTAGAAAGAGAGTGAACATCACTCTTTTATGAAGAAGATTAATTTTACGGGATTGCTACAGCGATATAGACCTCGATAATGAGTTAAACACGGTTCGAAACATGGAACTTTTCTGTAATAAAATCCATATGTGAAGTAGTCGCATAATAAACATGAAAACAATACTAAACATGTGCATGGACAAACAAGAACTGTACTTTAAATCCAAGTTTCCGAAATTCGGTTCCCGTCGCAGCGTTCTGTCGTCGACTGGAAGACGGACTCCACGTGTTTCCAATTTTGTCAGAAACAAATTTCTTCAGTTCCATCAGTTTCTCTGCTTCCGGCTAAATTACATTTGAATGGTAATAAAAACACAGAATAAGTTAAGACTTTACTGATTTATCGAAGCAACTTCAAAACGTATTCTTTTGAAACAAAGTAAACAGTGTAACTATTGAATCGATGTCACATTTTACTTGGGAGACTAAGGAAGCTGGATGGCATTAATTTTATCACGATCTTTCAGTAAAAAAAATTAATTCATCAGTCGACGCAGCGAATTTGATGCAAACAGTAAAGCTGTCGACTGGCTCATCAATTATCTTCAGCTTCAACACTTGCTTATCATTCTGAGCTCATCAAGAGTGGACAAAATTTTCTTCAAAGAAACTACGCTGGTATTAATCCATCAAAGGTAAATGATTTTGAAATTATCATAACTAATAACTTGTTCTACTTCCTGTGCTCTCACCAATGAATCAGATTTCCCGTAGACTGTGCAAATTTCGACACTGAATAGGCTTCCAAGGGTTTCTAAATTAATCGCATGAGCATCGATGCCCAGTTTATCGTCTGGCTGCAAAATGAAGCTTAAAAAAATCAAAGATGCATAAAGTCTTATTGCAGGGTAGTAAATGGATGAGAATTCCATCCAACGTACATTATATGCGCTGGACAAAAGATATCACCACGCTAAATCTGCGCATCGACAAAATCGCAAAGCTCACAAGTTTCTTTCAACGGAAGCGTACCTATAATGATAACGGATGTACATACACCTAAATGCCTTTAATCCTTAGCCAATATGCCAGTGGCAGCTGTTCCTGAAAACTCTGATTTGATTGGGACCAATCACTGACTACAAAGTAAAAAATTTTCTCGGAAGACTCCTCAAAGAAATCAGACTTTTTGACAACTTTTGGAATATGGACGGCCGCGTGAATGATAGTTTGCTAGATACAAGCCGTGGCTGCCCATTTAATTTTCATGCGCAGTGATTGTCTGATCGACGCAAGAGCCAGGCTGATAAAAGTAGAAGTGCGTCAGCTGTTCTCGTGTTCGCGCTCTAGCCTCGCTCACAGATAACGACGCGACCAGAAAGAAACAGCTTGTCATCGAAACTAATTTCACCAACGGTAAATGACCAAGAAGGAACCATGTAAGCCTAACATCTGACTGTTGAACAGGCGCATGACCATGGTGAATTCGTCAAAATTGATGACTCATTGTCCCGTTGACAATGACAAACACTATAAAAGGGGCATCTCTTTGTACTGATATACTGACGAAGAAGGGTGTATCTGAAGTAAAACCATGGAATTACAGTCGAGTGTCAGACAACAATTCGACTGAGGCTCAGAATTAGGCACTTCAGCAGACAGTGGATTGTCATCGCCAATCAAGCTAAAAGCTGTTCGCTACTTTCGCAAGAAACAGTACGACCTTGAAATTTTATTGAACGTTATGACACAAGATTTGGACAGCTGAGGCATCACAATCAAAATACATGCAGTGCGCTGGGGACATGAGCTTTTAGCATCAACAATCAACGACACAGTCATGTGGCTTTCAGCGCAGACATGCATACCATGTTAAATCTTTTACATATTTCCAACATGTGAACTGATTATGCACACATCAAAACGTTAACATACTAATCGTAGTTGTGCACACTTAAAGTTTTGTACAGCGATTTATTTCCCAAAATAAAAATTATTTCACGCAACTTATATAACCTTTGCCTTGAATCCTTTTTGTCAGGTCGTCTTGACATAAACCACTACCTGTCTAATTCTAATAATTTCGAACAATGTGGTGATTGAAGTTTTATGCTCTCTTCCAAGATAAATATGGTAAGATCTTCAGTCTGAGTACCGCTGCACCAAAACGCTTTGCATTTCATCTCCGATGAAATCTGACGGATATGATACCACAGCTTATTTAATTGACTGGGTTTATGTGATCATCGTGTTGCGTTGTGTATATAAACAGAACTTCTCTTGTTTTTGAGGTCCGCTGTACGCGTAGCTTTGCAAAAACTTTGCTATAACGCAGATGTCACTGCCTCATAGAAGGAAATATTCCTCGTTGAAAGTAGATTTCCAAGAAACTTGTTCCTCTCGGTGTCTATCAGTTGACAATTTCAAGCTGATGAGAAACAAATGAGAACTTCATTGAAGCGGTTCAGTTGAACAGAACAGACTGTTTTTAAACTTTCTTGGTGACTGGCTAGTTGATGTTTTAAAATTCCTCCGCTTCGTGAACTGTTTTTCAGCACGGCAAGTGTAGGCCTGTTTCATTATTTTTGGTCTCGATTTTGTGTGCATTCTTGTTGATTTTTCACGCCTTAATAAAATTTTAACAACGTCAACAAACATGTCTTTCTCGTACTTTGCCTTAGCAAGCGATCAACTACCGTTCTGCATTCCTTGCACTGGATACTTACCTTTGGAAGGCAAGTCTTGCATTTTAGCGTCGTTAATATGCTTGTTCTGATTCTGTACCGGCACATAAGAGCTTGCTAGTTTCGTGATTTAGTGGTATCGTTAGTCTGACTCACGACTTCCGTGTTAGGTACTATTGAATTAGGAAAGATATGAGCTCCCAGCAATACACTTGAGGAGTACATTGCTGGCAACCGCATGCAGATGAGGAATGAAGCCAATCAACAATTTAGCCACAAGTAGAACAGTAAACTGAGAGACTTCAAATGAAATACCATCGCATGGGTAAGCCTGATTCTAGCCCTGGCATCAAGAGCATTGAGAATGAGTTGAAGAAGCACATAAAGCTGATGGCGGATATCTTCTCCCACATTCGTCCTTAGTATGTTGTTAATCAAGGCGTTCTGAACTGGCTTGCTGCAGAGGAGCTAAAAGATAGTCATCATGAGAATGATGGCTGCAAAGAAACAACGAAAAAATTTGTTACTCACCGAGGCTATGTTCTGATGCTCGCTTTCAGGGACTTTGAGGAATAAGGCGTTGATCAATGCAAGAACGCTATGCTGTACAAGCGTATCCGAATTCTCCAGATGGCGAACCAGACTTTCGAACGGTACCTGTTCATTAATGAGAGCGACTCTGGGACTAAACAATTACAGCAACCAGTCAAAGATTTCCTGCATTGGACTACTGCGCAGTATTTAGTCTGCATTCGATAAAATGCAGTACGCGGCAGATTAAAAAAAGTAAAACGGTCAGCAACCCTCCCAAGCGGTCAAGTTAATCAGCTACGCCACGCTGAAAGCTTCTCGTGGGTAGAGTTATGCACAAGATAGGTAAACACAACATTTCTGCATTCATTTCACTTGCACCTCCAAGTTTCATGGCTGTCAAATGAAAATCAAAAACAGCCACAAACGAACTCTCTTTATAAAGCACCACAGAGCGTGACTAAGGAAAAAAACGTAGTGCAAAATGAACTGGGTATCGTATTTCGAACAGTTTACATTTTTGTCTTGAAATCCAAAGAGAGGAGCATACTTCATTGGTGGAGGCTCGGATATTTGAGGAAAAAACTCCTGGAACTGCTATACGTGCAACCTGTACGGAGTAGCATATGGTGAGAATGAATAAAAGTATCGAAAACTGATTACAAATTTCAGAGATCGACGTTGAAATGTAGAGAGACATGCCAATGATCAACTGATAGTAGCAACAACTTCGACGAACTTATTCTGTTGTGCTTCCTCACAGAAATTCTGAAAAAACCAGCAGAAACTAAATACAGGATAGGTGGATTTTTCTGGAGAAAGAACTGGCTGCGCTGTTGTCTATAACGCGGTCTGACTTGTATTAATCAGACGCCATTTTGTTGTTCAATGAAACAACAGCCAAGAGACAAGCATAAACATTTAAAGCAACTGCGACGGAGAAACAGGTAATCCGGTCATTACCTGGAGTTTATAATTGCTTCCAAGATCGTCATCGCCACAGCCAGTACCTTGGGATGCTCCAATTTTGTTCTTCCTACTACGTATCCAGCAATCTAGGTTGAAATTTATACAAAAATACTAAATGAGGTTCAAATGATTTCTAAAGCAACTTTAACATTCCATAAAGAAGTCCTAAATTTTATGCTTACTGCAAGTTTTAAAACTATTCATCAACACCGGTTTGATCTGTAACTGTGCTATTACGACGAGTGATGCCATCAGAAAAGTTAGGTTTATAATAAAATAAACTAAACTGGGTGCGCATATCTACGCAAACTCTATGCTATGCCATATTGGATTTTGTTGGTCATGAATATGTAAACGTTTTGCCCGTTTCATCTAATCTCGCCAGATCCTTAACTACTTTGCGTTGCTACAAAACTTACAGCGGGACTACTGACAAGATTATACGGTCTATTTGGCTGCCGCAACCGCAGAAGCACAGAAGCATATTTTTCGAACGAATCCCACTGAACAAAATTCGAAATGCCACAATTCGATTCAAGAGAAGACTTTCCCGTGAATACAGCACAAGGGCACGCCGTAAACCACATATCTCGATTATGTAAAAGACAATAAATTTTCGCATGTTGGGCTAAACCATGAACTAACTAACCTGGTGGAGGATCGGGACCACTGGGAAAGCCTTCTGAATTCGCAATGTCATGATCCAAAAGGAGTACTGTCACTAAAAAAAAACGAATGACATGCAACGAGTTAAAGAACGCATTAAAAGGGACCCTTTACTATAGAAAGTAGGTATGAATAACATAAGCGTAGGCTGTTCGTTGGTTCAATCAAGTGACTAAAGACAAATTGAAAGAGCAAACTAGTCCTGCCAGTTGCGTTACCACGAGAGACCTCTTATTGATAGAAAACAATGTCTGCTCTGCTATTATTATATTTGTTGCATGTATTGCCTGTTTCAACGATTTCAATTTTTGAAATACCTGTTCTATTAGTTTATCAGGAGGAATGGTCCATGAAGAATCAGAATTCTCTACCAGGTGTTGAAAAACGCCAAGCAGGTTAGACAATGAGTCTCCTGAGACTGCATCCTTCTCTATCATATCCATGACGATCTTCAGACCATCAAACTTCAGGAACGTTTTGGCAAAGGTGGCGTCAGCACTTAAATTTGGTAGTATTTCAAGAGCGCGATCGACTGTTTGATTGGAACTGGATCTGAGCCATTGGATCAGCACTTCGCTCAACGTTTCCTGTTAAACGCTCAGGTAGATTAGTCATCCAACAAGTAACATGAGAAGTTCTTCACCGGCGAGGCGCAGAGACGAAGCACATCTCCGTTGACAATTTCGGTCCTGTTCTAAATTAATATCATCAATATAAAGAGTAGCAAATACTCAAAATGGACACCTAGTCAATTGTCCAGTTTGAACTGAATCATAGAAAATCATAAATTTAACCGAAAAATACTAACATTAAATATACAAACGTAAGAAACACTGAAACAATCGATACTTAAAAGACACGCAAGAAAATTACTTGAATCTTTACAGCTCTGAGTAAATTTGGAACTAAAAAGCTGAAATCGGCAATTGAACTACAAATTAGTTGATTAACATTTGTGACAGGACGAATGACCAGCAACAGCAATGCAAAAATGACCTGAAGTAGACGGAAGCCTGCCGTTTTGACTATGCTTTAGAAAAATCAGGATTTCTGTATTAGCAGCATGCCTATCCGAATAACGTGTGAATGCCTGCTGTGTTGCCGCTTGATCGTTTTCGGCTGCGTTCTATAGCCACTAATGAGAAATGTTAGATCACCAGACCTATGTAGCGCTGCGTACAGCATTTCAATACATGCCGGGTAGCTCGTATATCTGTGAATTGTTCAGCGTGCTAGAGGGTTGACATTTAGCTCTTTAGCAAAAAAAACTGAAAAAAGTTTTTCAACGGAAAATCACCGCTTCTAGCATTTCATATCTTACTGGTTAACAACCAGTTCAGATTTTAAGAACCCAAACCCTCAAGAATGCATAGAGTAATTGATGTATTTTTCGAAGTTCTACAATTTAGCCCAGCCGAGTTTAAATGCTGCCTAGCGCATCGACTAATTACGGATAGTATAAAAAGGCTTAGATACGTAGTTATGATTAAGTTGCGAAATAGGCAAGAACTTTTATGAATATTCAGTCTAGGGGAAGGTAATAATTGCACTAAGATGGTCAGGCTGTTTAATATGCTAGACCTGTGGGCAAACTTCTGGAGAGATTGAAAACCGTACTGTGACATGGTGAATGCAGCCGCCCATTAAGTAAGCATGTAGTAAATTCTGAAGGCGAGTTTCAAACCATTACGGATGGTCGCGAAAAATTTTACAATGGTAGATTCTGTACAGTTAATACGTCATGGCACTATTGTCCAATAATTCGACAGTAATTTGGTTACTAGTTTAATCTACATCTTATAGTTTCAGTTATTAATCTGTTACGGATAATAGAATTATTTAGGACAAACATTTTATTTATCATAAAATAAAATATTCTTTCGCAACTTCGCTGGAGCAGTAAACAATCATTTCACAGATCAGAAGTGCCATTTTCATCTCGTTTGGGTAACCTTGTTGCCCCCAGATCATTCATTGAGAAAAATATGCGCTGT